TTTGTCATCAATAATTTTTTTTCACTTAGGTATTTAGGTATTTTATTTATTTGCCACACGATTACAATAATTACAAAAAGATGCCAAAAAAAAATGTAGGAAGAGATGGCGAGGAGGCCTAAAAGAAACTATAGAGCTTATGTTAATTAGGGCTCCTCAATTACAATTTTTCGAAGATGGCATAAAAATTACGGCGACGGATACAGGTTCATGCAATGACTAAAATTGATACTTGTGGCTCCAAAACACATCAACTAAACAAGGCATGATCTTAACATCGTTTTGATCCCCTTTTCCTTTCTTTTCCGATAAAGAAATGATCCCTGGGTCATTCTTGGAATGACTACTAAAGCCAGGGATTTTAGAAGGTGCAAAATGAATTTACTAATTCCATTAGGGGACCATTCCAGGGGCGGTACAGATTACGACACACATGAGCTCACATGAGCTTGGATAAAATTTGGTCATGCAACTGGCAGACACCACATTATAAATGACTTGATGACCACGTTGTTTTCTAACCCACTCAAGGACAGTGTCATACCAAATTGAATAAAACAAGTCAGTTTTAACTGCCATGTCAAAATACCACGGCATGCTATCAGATTGAAACAATCCATTCAGAGTTTGAGAATCCTACATTTTTAATACAGAGTTATACACCTACTTATACCTAGTACCTTCAGTCTGAGCTTTCGGAACATTGTCTCGAGGGAGCGCTTCTTCAGGCTCCTTTTCTGGTTCACTCCCATGCCCACCACTTTCTGGTCTCCTCCCTGGACGAACAGCAGATGGGGCCTGTTATTACAGTAAACTGAACTGTTACTCCTGAGTTCATTATTATTTTTATTATTAATCTCCAAGGTGTAATGATTGATTTAGAAAGTTATGTGCGTGAAATGAGGGCCAGGAGCGTAACGTCCAAACACGCACATAAGCCCACGGTGCGTACAGCTGATAATTTTATTTCCTGAAAGTATTTTTTACATTTTTATGATGGTAATATATGTGGTGGTTTGAACGTAGAAAATAGACATACCCCTCTGGCCTCGTCAGATTCCACAGACCTTCTATCAATATCTGAGGCTGCATTTTTTAAAAAAAGAGCAATATTACTACATTGTCCGATTGCATTATTTGAACAATTTCTTACAAATGTGTAGTTTAAGTCTTAAGTGGCTCGAAGGAATGCATGCAAAAAGAATCCTGACAAACGGAGCCTCTTGAGCCTCTTGCATAACCTAACTGAAATACCATAAATCCTCTATCACGCCCCTCCTGGGGGTGGGGGGGGGGGGATATTTAATTTAGCAAAACTCTTTCCGAGGGCGTAGTAGTGCGCGACCTCTGGGCAGCTTCCAGGGGATGGAGAAGCGTCCTAATGCCGTCCATAGGCGGGTGGGGTGCGTCACTGACGACAGGTCCGAGCATGTCCTCAGGGCGTGGTCCATCTGCCGCATCGACAGCATGCTCTCTGCCATCTGCTTCCTCGCCAGATAATTCCGCTTCTGCTAGGCTTTCAGGAGAGGTGGAGAAAGGAATGGTTTCTGGAACTCTTTTGCAAATGTAAGAAGGTAAAAGCAGGATTATTTTCAAAGGAGGTGGAAAATCGGGACTTCAGCTATTGACTGTGTAATACAGGTTTGACCTTGTTTCTCGCAACGTCAGTAAACTAACAGCGAATCCATAAAACCAATTATAGAGGTTCAACAGCCACGTTATGATAAAAGTACCCTTTAATAGAAAACATTCATCTGAAAATATATGATCTACCTGTATCCTTGATCCTCTGATGAAGGCTTTGTTGAAGGCAAAGTGCGAGGAATATCTGCAAGATGAAATAAAACTAATAATTTCCTTTTCCTCCTATAAGCGAGACTTTATAGATCATCTGAAAATAGGGTATGGAACAAAATAACGCTCACAGTAGTGAGCAAGGACACAAACAAACGTGCTTGAAAAGCCGCAGCCCCCCCCTCCCGCACCCTCCGAGCATAATAGAGGATTTACGGGTTTCAGTAGGTTTTGCAAGGGAACGGGTTTGTGTTGTGTCGAATTGTATCATAAGAATGTTTTGGGGACGCTATCCCATTTTCATTGGTTATTTCAACATTCAAAGGAAACTGATTGGGTCGTAAAAAACAGGTCAAATTAACAAAGTGGTGGCGCTTTATGATATAGAAATATATATATACATATCTTTATATTTCGGAAGTATGTGATGACAAATAAAGTTTAATTCTGGCTATCAATCTGTTGGATATCACAAATACCTGTAAAGCGGACCTTAACGTACTTAGAACAGCTTCGAAAAAAGCTTTATTGTTTTTTTTATTAATTCTCATAAAAAATTCAACTAGTCAGTAAAGAGGTAAAATTTCGAAACACAAAAAAGTGCCTGTGGTAAGGGGATGGTCACATTCACGGGGTGTGGCTATGGCAGGGTCACTCTGTACCCCTTTTAAATGAAACTCATTCAAATAATTTACCTGTGGATGCAGCTGCTGTTGGTTGAGGTTCTTCTATCAGCTGTCTTCTTTTCCACTGGTCACGCTGCCTCTCAATCCTCTGTAGCAAACGTTTCAACGGATCTGCAGATCGAGAAATTCCAATGACAAGGTCAGCCCTCTGTCACATCAGCCACTTCAAGTAGACAGGGTCAACGATGGTCACACCATCTAAGTGCCACTTAGTCTCAGGACTAGCTTAGTTAACTTCTACACCTTATTTTAAATCATGAAATATGCTGCTGGTTCACCATTAAACTGCCTTAAACTAGACAGGTATTTAGGTATTTTTTTTTAGGTATTTTATTTATTTGCCACACGATTACAATAATTACAAAAAGATGCCAAAAAAAAATGTAGGAAGAGATGGCGAGGAGGCCTAAAAGAAACTATAGAGCTTATGTTAATTAGGGCTCCTCAATTACAATTTTTCGAAGATGGCATAAAAATTACGGCGACGGATACAGGTTCATGCAATGACTAAAATTGATACTTGTGGCTCCAAAACACATCAACTAAACAAGGCATGATCTTAACATCGTTTTGATCCCCTTTTCCTTTCTTTTCCGATAAAGAAATGATCCCTGGGTCATTCTTGGAATGACTACTAAAGCCAGGGATTTTAGAAGGTGCAAAATGAATTTACTAATTCCATTAGGGGACCATTCCAGGGGCGGTACAGATTACGACACACATGAGCTCACATGAGCTTGGATAAAATTTGGTCATGCAACTGGCAGACACCACATTATAAATGACTTGATGACCACGTTGTTTTCTAACCCACTCAAGGACAGTGTCATACCAAATTGAATAAAACAAGTCAGTTTTAACTGCCATGTCAAAATACCACGGCATGCTATCAGATTGAAACAATCCATTCAGAGTTTGAGAATCCTACATTTTTAATACAGAGTTATACACCTACTTATACCTAGTACCTTCAGTCTGAGCTTTCGGAACATTGTCTCGAGGGAGCGCTTCTTCAGGCTCCTTTTCTGGTTCACTCCCATGCCCACCACTTTCTGGTCTCCTCCCTGGACGAACAGCAGATGGGGCCTGTTATTACAGTAAACTGAACTGTTACTCCTGAGTTCATTATTATTTTTATTATTAATCTCCAAGGTGTAATGATTGATTTAGAAAGTTATGTGCGTGAAATGAGGGCCAGGAGCGTAACGTCCAAACACGCACATAAGCCCACGGTGCGTACAGCTGATAATTTTATTTCCTGAAAGTATTTTTTACATTTTTATGATGGTAATATATGTGGTGGTTTGAACGTAGAAAATAGACATACCCCTCTGGCCTCGTCAGATTCCACAGACCTTCTATCAATATCTGAGGCTGCATTTTTTAAAAAAAGAGCAATATTACTACATTGTCCGATTGCATTATTTGAACAATTTCTTACAAATGTGTAGTTTAAGTCTTAAGTGGCTCGAAGGAATGCATGCAAAAAGAATCCTGACAAACGGAGCCTCTTGAGCCTCTTGCATAACCTAACTGAAATACCATAAATCCTCTATCACGCCCCTCCTGGGGGTGGGGGGGGGGGGATATTTAATTTAGCAAAGATGATGGTATCAGTTCTGCCTAAAGAACTAGAATACGAAGTGGAAAAGCTCAAGTACAAGAAGTTGGAGGTCAAATTGCAGCCAAGGATCACTAACAAATCTGAGCTGCCAGTTGGTGAAAAAACCATCCTGAATCCACATCACGTTTTACAGTCATGTTTGATTAATACAGTGAAGGGAAAAATAAAAAGAGGGAGGAGTGGCGGGAGGCTTAAAAGAGAGGAGGGCTTATTTGAGAAGAGGCTTAATAGTGGATTTACAGTACGTCTGAGCTCCCAGGCTTATGTACATTTTAGAAACAAAGAAGTTGTTGTTGTTATCAAAGGTTTGAACCCATGAGTCATTACAAAAGTAGGTTGAGTTTGATTGTTCGGGAGAACGTAGTCCTGAATAGGACTGTTGTTGACAGTGACTGACGTTTCGACAACCTGTGCGGTAGTCATCTTCAGAGTCAAAGTGAGTTGTATCACGTCAGTTGATGGTATAACACTCTGAGTATTGATCTGATTGGTCAAATACGTCGCGATGTTATTGGTCGTCTGTCAGTTAAGCCGTGATGTCATTGGCTATGAAGACTCTTAATCAGTAACTGTTATTATTGCAACTAACTGGAAGAAAACCAGTCTGACTAAACGATCATAATAACTACCTGAGGTAGCACTGTCTTCTGATACTGCTGTCATCAAATTCTCAGGGGGCTCAAGAGCAACAGTCAAATCACCTGTGTAACCTGCAGACAGAGAATTCATACACTCAGGAGGCTTTCCAAAAGTCAGTATGGAATTTCTGTTGCTGAGTTGCAGATGTTCCTCCTGGCGAAACGTCCCTGGTGGCGAGGAGCGAGGAGAAATGCCTGTACTCACAGGCTAATCACTAATGTGAACCACTAATGTATACAGTTGTACTTCACTGAAGCTTTATTAATATTAATAATATTGTTTAAGGAACAAGCACAATAAAGGGACTAAAGGTTGATGTCCACCACTGCATTTTTTTTGTGCGTACCCACATAACGTTTATGAGCGTAAATAAAATAGAGGCAATGTATCAAACGTAAACCTGATCGAGTTTCAACGTTTTAACGTATACGCCACACCTCTCATACATTTCCTCTATTGACGAGCGTACACAAGTAAAAATTACAAGACAGTGGAAATCCACCTTAAGTCAAACTTTTAGGCTGCTTTTTACAAGAGAGTACCAAGCCTCAATGGATAGATGCTGCTTATTCATTTGGATGTTTTTAATTTTTTTACCAACTCCAAGCCAAACTTATCATAGTTTATAGGTGGTTTTCATGCAATCTCGGGAGACACTAATAACAATGGTGAAATGAACAAATGCTGGTGGACAAACAAAGCGAGCTAATGAGCGATCTTTTGTTTACCGTCCACCAGCATGGCGGCGATGACGTAACGTGAAAACCACCTATAACATTATAGTACGTATTTTATGCTACCAAATAATTTTGAAGATAACAGGTGGTCTTTTTCTACATATTAAATATGTGAAGCCAAACAAATTCACTGGGATCAAGTGAAAACTGAATTCTAACCTGTCTGCATCATATACATGTCTTCAAACGCTTGTTCTAAGTCTCTCTGTCGCTCTTCTGCGTCTTCCAAACGTTTGTGAGGTGGCTGAAAGATGCGTACCTAAAACAAGCAAGCAATAACAAACTTAAATACTACTAACTGGCATACAAATTCAGGTGGTTACAGGCTGAGTATTTTTTTCTCTCAAATTTATGGCCCAAATGCAAAGTGCACAACTATCTGAAGCCATAAATTCAAAGAAAATACAAGTCAAGAGCTTAATCTTTATTTTAAAACAACTGAGACTTCTCAGCTCTAGTTGGTCAAGAGCTAAAGTCTATGAGAGTAAAGACTATACAAATGCATTTTATTGTTCTATATTTGTTAAGCCTACAGTTTGGACTTGTGATTGTTGTTTTAAAAAGTTGTGTAAGAACACATTGGCCATAACAAGGACAAAGATTTTGAATGAGACCAGAATAAAAAGCTTCCAGGAAAATAAGGAGATGTTAGAGTAAACTTTAAAATATTTATTAGAGTATAACTACAGACAACTCCGTCAGGCTAGGCAACAAAGGAAACTGATATCATGTATCAATATACTTTTTTTTTTTCATTCCAACGAAAAGCTGACTTCATACAAACAAAAAAACAGTCAATTCTCCAAAAATTAATTCAAGATAAAAACCTTTCATTAGTCTTTTTTTATTGCCAAAAAAAAACTTTCCTAAATTAATGTTAAAATTGTAAATGTAAGCACTGACAGTTGCTGCGAACCACTGAAGAGAATGTGCAAATGAAATATTTTCTATTGCTTGGGAAGTAAATTGTTTTCTTGAAATCCGTTTGAGTGACAAATATTGCAGTTCAAAATGCTGGTTTCTAAATTCTCGAGGCTTGATTCTTAAACCTAGAATCTCTCGCAAACTCCATTCATTTGAGTTTCCAGACTCAAGAATTGAGTTTCAAGGATTAAATTGAAACTATCAACTTACTTTTGAGCAGTACTGTAGGATAAAAAATTTTTATCTTGAATTTAATTTCAATCTGCAACATTAGACATCTTGTAGAGGTGTACATAATGAGAACATTGACAGTACAGGATGTCTTAGAAAAGACACCTTGAGCTGAGAGGATGAGAAAAGAACCCTTACTGGGATTTTAGCAACAGCTTCTTGTCGTCTTTGACGGTCATGTCTTTCCAGTTGCCCAAGCTCTTCCATCAGTTTCTTGTGATCCTGTTTATAAGTTTGTTACAAAAATAAATAACTTTATTTTACACAATTATTTTAAACTATTGAATCATTTCAGAATAAGGTGGTAGAAGACATGAAGAAAAACAAAAGTAGCTGTAAGTCAAGAGTAAAACTTTAAAGACACAGGCCACCCAAATTGTGCTGATGATGGACAACAGGGTAACCAGCCACGTAAAAAGGGTGAACTACAAAGAGCACACTTAACGCAGACTGTTGTAGGATATAATAATTATGCTAACAGAGTGCAAAGAAAGTCAGTTTTACAGCTTGCCATTCAGGTAAGCTATAGCTAGCATGAACCAGCCCAAAAGTCATTTCAACTACTTGAATTCCTCAAAAAACTTCACAGTTGCCCCCTGTTCGGGCAAGCTAAGAACAGAATTCACAAACCCGATAGCAAAATCCACTGGTCCCAGCAAGCTATCAGACACTACTTTCTTTGCACGCTGCCCTACTAGCAAAAAATGCCAAACACTAATAAAATTCTTACTTCCTCCAGTTGTAACATTTCCAATGCATGTTTGTGTCGCAGTCGAGCCTTCTCAGTTTGTTCCACTTTATTTCGTTGAGCATCCTGCAAACAGTCAATAGAATTGAGCTGAAATTCTATCTAAAATTACAAAAG